TGCTGGCTTGCATTTTTTCCAGGTGCGTCACCAACAATTGTGTAGCTAGTAGCTTTTTCCTATTATCAGTAAAATACCTGTCCTTGCATCTTGGATCCAGAAGCACTGCAATGCTGTAGAGAGGTTCTGATTCAATTTCAGCAAAGGGCACTTCTATGGCTTATAGCAAAGTAACTTTCATAGTTTTAATTTCATGGTCTGAATCTGTAACTTTGCTCAAAAGCCTTTGTAAAGCCACAATGGAAGGGATGACATGAGAAGCAGAGGCTGCGGATGAATTCAACTTATGTGTTAGTTCTTCAAATGGTGCTAGAACTATCACTACTTTTTCCATTAGCCCCCACTGATGTACAGCGAGAGTTAGAGGGATTTCGGAGTCAGCTGCATACGCTCCAAGTGCATGTTTCTGCTCCAAAAGGCTTTGCAGCACATAGTAAAAATGCTGTTCCACCTTGTCTGTATGTCCTGCTGTAACCTCCTGGAAGGCATTCCAAGCTCAGTCTGCACCCCTTGAAAACAAGAATAGGCCAACGGAGAATGTTTGAAGTACCCAACAATTTTTCATCTGATAGCCAGTATGTCAGACACTGTGCTGTGAAAACCACTCCTTCATTCACAATGAGCTGGAGTGCATGTACTACACAAGGTAAACTTGTTTAAACTGGAGTCTTGCATCACCTTTGCTATGTTTCTTGCATTATCCCTGATAATGACATGAACTTTTGTCTTCAGGATTTTCCACGCTGCCAACATCTTGTCAAATGCCACTGAAATAGTCTCAGCCGTATGGGAACTGCTGAACTCCTGGGCCTGCAGTACTTCCCTCTGTAAATTATAGTTCACGTCTATCCACTGTACAGTTAAACTCAGCATTAACATGGGTGATACATCAGAGCTCCAAATATCAGTCGTAATGCTAAATGCTGATATCTGAGTATCTTCAACCAACATCTGCATGCATCTTAAAACAACATTGTACAGCTCTGGCAGCGCAATGCCAGCTATAAACCTTCTGCTGGGCAGTGCATAACGAGGCTCCAGGCATTCAATGGGGCAGCAGAATCTGGTATCTTCTACAATGGAAAAGGGCTGATCATCTAGTTATAAATTCCACTAAACAGTTAATAATTTCTTTAGCCCTGGCACCTCTACTTCCAAATTTCTGTGAGTGTTTTAGAGCTTTGTGTAATGATAGTTGGCTTAGCACACCTTTTTTCTGCCCTGCTTCTTTCTTCTCTGTAGTCATCTTTAGGAAATCATTGTATTCAGTAGCATGGTGCATCTTGAAGTGCTGTATTAAGTTTAATCGAGTCTGCTGGAGTGCAAATTGCCATGCTCCAGCAGACTCCAGTGCCTTTTCCAGTCCACTCCAGTGCCTTGTCCAGTCCAGTCCAGCAGACTCCAGTGCCTGGTCACATGTGTCAGCATCCCCATGCTTAAAAATGGTGGTGGGGGCGCTTGAACTAAAGCGCATCAAATGAACTTTAGTTCAAGCACCCACACCATCATTTCTAAGCATTAGGGTGCTGATACAGGAAACACAATGGCACTTTAATTAGAGTGGCTCCTGGAGCTGCTCTAATTAAAGCGTTGTTCCCCCCCACTCCCAGCTGGAGCACATGAAAGAGTGCCCTGTGCCATTTGCAGCCCCTGTCCTTCAGGCTCAGGCAGGGGTGGTGCTGGGGGAAAGGCCTATAGCCATCCCAAAATTCACCTTAGCCCCCCTGAAGCTGCCCCTCCCAGGGCTGCTGCTGTTCACCTGCCCCACCCCATGCAGGTGAGCCAGCAAATGTGTGGTGCTCCTGGCAGGGGCAGTGACAGTATCTTTCTGGTTGGGGGGGCTGGGCTCGGAGCGGACGGGAGTAGGCTGGGCTAAGCTGCGCAGGGCAGGAGGGCAGACAGTGGTGGTGCTGGTGCTGGGAGAGTCCAGGGGAGAGGGCTAAGGCAACTTTTGGGGTGGCTATAGCTCCCCCCGCTCAGTTTGACTGAGCCCAACATTGGCCCAGCTCCTCCACTTGGAAGTCTGGCACTGCCCCTGGGCTCAGGGCAGCTGCCTGAGCCTGAGGCTGCCCAGGGCTGGGTGGTCTTCGGGCACTTTAATTAGAGAGGCTCTCGGAGCTGCTCTATTTAAAGCACTGCCTCCCCCACTTCCAGAGAGTCCCTGCCAGAGGAAGGACCCTGCTGCACACAGTGTGGGGGAGCAGCTGTCCTGGCCCCTGGGATGCAGATCTCCAGGCACTGTGGGTTGAGTCATGCTGGGTCAGGCCAGGCAGCTCTGCCTTCCCATCCTCACCCCAGTCATGTTTGCTGCATTTGGCACCTTTTACAGGGTAGGGTGGGGATGGGCAGGCAGAGCTGCCTGGCCTGACCCAGCATGACTCAACCCACTGTGCCTGGAGGTCTGCATCCCAGGGGCCAGTACAGCTGCTCCCCCACACTGTGTGCAGCAGGGTCGTTCCTCTGGTAGGGACTCTCTGGAAGTGGGGGAGGCAGTGCTTTAATTAAAGCAGCTCCGAGAGCCTCTCTAATTAAAGTGCCCAAAGACCACCCAGCCCTGGGCAGGCTCAGGCAGCTGCCCTGAGCCCAGGGGCAGTGCCAGACTTCCAAGTGGGGGAGCTGGGCCAGTGTTGGGCTCAGGCTGGGGAGGTTGGGGGGGGCTATAGCCACACCAAAATTTGCCTTAGCCCTCTCCCTTGGACCCTCCCAGTACCAGCACCACCTCTCTTTACAGTACCTGACCCAGCCTGCAGTCTGTGCTGCGCTGTGCCACCGTAGCAGCTGCTCTACTCCAGCTCAGCCTTCCCACTGATGAGGGGATGGGGATGGGAAAGAACTCAGGCATCTGGGAACCCCAGTCTTGTGGGTAAGAGGCAACCCAGGTGGTTATACTTGATGGTCCAAGAGTCAGCATGAAGATGAAAACATCAGCTATCTTCCATTTTTTCATCCCATAATGGTTATTTCCTGAGACAATGTTTTTGTTAAGAACAGAAGTCTTAGGACTGTAGTCTCCAACACACACCACTGATAGAGTTCTCTAAACTTCAACATTTTTCAAGAGAAAACAAACCTTGTTGGAGTTAAAATTAAATATTCTAAGGAGCAGAATACTTGATATAAGCTGCTGATTAGCACTGCTATATGAACAGATGTTCTGCTCAAAAGACTATTTAATTACCTTTAAAGAGCATTCTGTATAGTCACACTGTTATAATATTCAAAATATACTTCCTAAAATGGAGCATAATCACTAAATACGGAATAGCCGAAGTTTGACTTCCTAACAGTCCCAAAGCACACATTACAAAAAGTTAAACTGGCAGACAGAGAACAAGTAGAGGGGGGCTGGACCCAATGATCTTGTAAGGTCCCTTTTAGCCCCTAACAGCTATGAATCTATGAAAAACAGCCATACGAGTAACATACCAATAAAAAGGAATCCCTTTTTTCAAAAATATAGATTAGCTTTATAAAACTAAAAGCTTTGTTTACAGCTTTGAATATGAATGTAGTAAAGAATGACAAATTCCTTTATGTTTAGTGCCTCCCATTAAACCACTTTCATCATTGTTCCTGATATTTAGCATGCAAATATGGACACCACACACAAAAACAAATGTTTACATTCTTCCTATCATGTTCTGTAGAGGATCTGTGTATCATTTTATCAAGCTGCTTTGCAATTTCAAAAATTACTATGCACTTCAGATAAAAATAATCCAACTGAAGAAAAATATTGCACAACACTGTTTCTATTAAAATTTCTAATAGTTCCATGCCATCAGAAATGACAGTGAACCGATGAACACTTACATTGAGAAGAGAAGAAGCTGCCACTCTACCAGCTGCTACAATGAAATCCATAATAAGCATGGTAGCACCAGGCAAACCAAGGGAAAAAAACTGAGGAGAACAGTGCTTGATGATTGTATTGACAATATCCTTGCAGGAAGAAAGGAGAAAAAACAGTTATCTATTAGGAGTTAAAAGTTTGATACAAAACTTCAATTTCTTTACAGGAGTTAAAAAAACAAAGTAACGGGACAAAACCCACCCCCCACATCTCCAAAGTTAATGATGTTGTTTTAAATTGCTTGCCCTTGGCAAACTCTAGCAAAACAAAAAGGCTAACTTTTAACATCCTGTTCCAAATGTTTCCATATCAATACTCTATATAAACTGTAAACTGAGGGAGCTTTACAGAACAACTCACCTTCGAATACATATCTTCCTACATCATACTGAATCTTAATACTCTATTAATACATAGCTTATGAAGGGTTAACTAATGATTTCAGAGTACAACAGATTGCTTTGTAACCATCTACTCAGCCAGTGGGTACCAACCTTTTTGGCAGGCATGACACAAATTAAGTTCTGTGCCCGCCCCAAGTGGCAGTCTGATTCTGATCTGCTGCTCTTCCTTCTGCTCCCTGCTATGATATTTCATCTTTGTCCTATTTGAGGCTATACTCATTGCTTCCTCCTCAATCCAGCAGGTGCCACACACAGAGGCTGCCAATGCCACTGGCTGGCCACCCTTGTACTATACTTTCTACCAATGTGTTAAATCCATCTGTAACAAGTACTATTGCCTATATTTTTACAGAAGAACAGCATCTTGGACAAACTTAATGTGCTGGGACCATCTACAGAATACATTTGTAGAGGTGAATAATTAAATTCCCTGAGAAATCTGACAAATTCAAAAAATTAAATGAGCAATTATGACTAAACATATTTGTTATTTGTTTGCATCAAATGCAACACAAGAATACTTGATATAAGCTGCTGATTAAGGCAATGTGAGGGACAATAATTTTATGGAAGTTTATATATGAAGAATTATTTATTAATGCTTTCTTTTCACAGGATATCTTTTTCATCTTTCCTATCAATAAATCTTTTTATTGGACTGAAATTGTGTGTTATGAGATACAGTTGTGGTCTACAAATTGGATGTGGAATTAAGAGCTGGGCAGGCCTAATCCCAACTCTGACAGAGGACTCCTACTACATCCCCAAGGTAAGTCGCTATATCTTTCCATAAGGTTCTCAGTATCTAAATTAGCAAAGTGAAACAGGACTAAAAGCTTGCTTCTTCTTTCTGTGCTTCACTTCAGTCTGCAAATGGATAATCTGTACAGATGAAAAAGAGGGCACATTTTCTGATCATTTCAGTTAAACTTCTTATTTATTGGAATTTCAGAAAAAAAAACCCTAAAATTACCTGATCAACATGAAGAAGTCCACAATGCATTATATTGTAGAAATGAGTTAAAAAGTCCTGATTTGGAGAAACATCTTGTCTTCGCTTCATTGTCTTACAAATAAGTTTATAAGCATGTAGCTTGCCTTGTTTGTATTTATCAGTCAACATGGTTGCCTATAGTTTTAGAAAAGTAATTATTAAACAAAAATTAGGGGTGCACTGACAAAGATTTTCTTGGCCGATACCGACAGCAGATTATTAACCAGCCATATAGGCAGATACCGATCTGATAGCTGATTTACAGGAATGCAGCAGGGCAGCTTGAAGAGCAGTGGCCAGCTGGTAAATCTGTGGGGGAGAAGGGGAGTGAGAAGGGAAGGGGCATGGTGGGGCAGTTCAAGGCCCCCCTACAGTGAGAGAGGGAGTGGGGCAGGGGCTGGAACAGGACCAGATTCTGCCTAGTCAGGGCTGTGAATGCAATCCTGGGGCTGGGAGCGGGATGGAGCCACGGGTGGTTCATCCAAGAGGCGTGAGGGAGTGGGGAGGGGGTGGTTCCCCGACACTATGCGCAACCCCGGAAGAGGTCTGGGGGCATGTGCCCACCCAGATTTGAGTGTTGGGTGGAGGCAGGCTGCCCACTGTGGGCTCGGGGCCAGGGTATAAGCCAGCCTATTCCTGGCAGGGGGGCTGGACTCAGCTGTGCAGGGTGGGTGGCTATGGGGGCCTATGGGGAATTTTGGGGTGGCCATAGCCCCCCAAGCCCTCCCTAAACTCTCCCTTTGCTGCCTTTCCCTTGGGAGCCCTGCACTAGCCACGTGTCTCCTGCCCACGTCTCCTGAGGGAAAGGAAGAGCCGAGTGTCCTGAGCAGGGGCGGCACTAGGGGAGCTTGGGGGGGCTATGGCCACCCAAAAATTCACCCATAGCGTCCCCTCTCAGCACTGTCACCCACTTCGCACAGCTGAGCCCAGCCCCAGCCCAGCCTCCCAACCAGGAACAGTTTGGTGCAGCCCCTGGCCCCAAGCCCGCAGTGAGCAGCCCCACCTCCAGCCAGTGCACAAATCCAGGGAGACATGCCCCCCATGTGGATGCATGCAGTGGCAGGGAGCTGCCCCACCTTCCCACACACCTGTGGCTCTATTCCACTCCTAGCCCTACGGTTGCATCCCCCCCCCTTCCCCCCTCCGTTCCCCCCTACCCCCCCCCCCAATTCACAAGCTGGACGCTGCTCTCCATGCTGCCCAGCTGTATTCCTAGCTGTGTGCTTGCTGTGGCTGCGCACATGCACGTGGCATTTATTGGTGACATTTTTGGCTACACTGGCCAAAAAAAGCCAATGGTCAATAACATTAATTTTCTTTTTACTTCGTGCCAATATGGCACTGATACATTAGTGCACCTCTAACAAAAGGACACGTTAGGAAATCTGGCCATTGCACCAGATGACAAAGCCAACCTATTTAACAATTTCTTTGCCTCCATTTTTCTGAGCAGGCACCAGGTCACCCCCCTCACTGGGTCCCCATAGGCCCCAGGGGAGGCGCACCCAGGCCTAGGGTCAGTAAGGACCTAGTCAGGGAATTTTTGGAGGGACTGGACGCATTTAAATCAGCTGGTGCTGATGATCTCCACCCCAGAGTGCTGAGGGAATTAGCAGAGGTTACTGAGGGACCCCTGGCCTGGCTTTACGAGCACTCATGGTGCTCTGGCGTGGTGCCAGAGGACTGAAAAAGGGCCAATGTGGTTCCCATTTTCAAAAAAGGGAGGAAGGAGGACCAAGGAAACTATAGGCCAGTACAGTATAGTCTTACCTCGATCCTGGGTAAGCTTTTTGAGAGAATTATCCTGGCGCATGTCCGCGAGGGGCCAGCAGGGAAGATTATGCTTAGGGGCAACCAACAAGGGTTCATTAGAGGCAGGTCCTGTCAGACCAACCTGGTGGCCTTCTATGACCAGGTCACAAAATCCTTAGACGCAGGGGTAGCAGTGGACGTAGTCTTTCTGGACTTTAGGAAGGCCTTCG